CTTGATATCAAAAATTGTCCTTCGGACGTTGTCTTTTCGGTCGGTACTGGGAATTTCGGAGGTGCTCAACCACTATGACAAATGAAGTCCTTGCCACCTGAATCACCTGTCTCGCTTTTCTATGTCTGCAAAATCATTCAACCGAATCCCTTGAACGCCACTGTATTCCAGGGCCTCGTTACTTGAATAGGTTCTTCTTTTTCTTCTTCTTCTCCCTAACGTAATCCCGCGCCGTTGCAGGGTCCGCTATTCTTCTCAGTCGTTTCCACTTCGTTCTATCTATGGCATCTTTTGTTGTTACCTTAGCTTCGGCCAGTTCCTTCTTGATCATGTCCCGCCATCTTTTCTCTGGGGCTCCTCGCCGCTTCCCTTGGGCCTCGAACTCCGTTGTCTCCATTATTGGGTGATTCGGTGGTCTCTCGTTACGTGTCTTTACCGTCGCAGGCGCTGTTCTCTCATCTTTAACTGTACAGGGGCTACTTATATGGCCAGACACTACTTAAATAGATTAGCGTTTACAAAATGTGTTGACTACTTTTGTTCGCACAATGCCTGTGTTTTAATCGGCTGACGTTGAGCTGTTACTGCCTAATAGTGAGTCGAGCTTTTAATTGGCAGTTGTCACTTCCTCAACAACTATGTGAAAGTAGAAAGAATGCTGTTATCGGCACGTAGACTCATTTCGAACATCAGTGACCAATACTTAATTGCTTGGACACGTGGGGGCGTATCGAGACATTGCACACTGCCTTTTATCACCTGAGCAGCTGAATTCTCGGGAATTCCATTTCATACCACTCCAATTACTGTTGTCAACAAGTTCATGTAATGCTAGTAATTATGTGATTACAAGGTAAGTCTCAATATATTTTTATGTGTACATAAATTACTATGACGACCTCCGGAAATAGATCACAATCACCTGTTCCGATTGCCCTTTGCCTTTTTGAATCTGCATCATTACCTCCTTTCATTCTATAGTTCTTCCTGTTATTCGGAATCTTCCCGTGACTTTTTCAATTCCAGTTTTGACATTATCGATACAAAAATGTTTTTTTTTTGCAGTGGTCTTTTATCTCCGAATATGCGGCAACCACTGAGGTCTCAATCCTTCAAACATCGGACCCGTCCTTTGAATGAAGTAAAGAAAACTACAATCGAAGATGTACCACATGAACGACGTCGTAGTACGCCTACAATATCACGACGGAGCAGTTTGGTACATAGGTTAGTACATAAATTATTACAAATGTACTTAGAAGCGTTAGAAGTTTGAGCCATACGATTCCCTTTTAGAATCTCAGCAGCTTTTACGTGTCTAGTTGATCCTAGAAACTTCCACAGTTCAGTTAAGTTCGATGTAAATAAGATTTGCTTTCCTACCAGACTGTTCTGGAGCAATCAACTCCCGGTAATCTTAATTGATGAAGGGATGGACAGTCTGGTTGTAACTGAACCTCGTTCTCGATCCCCTGACGATGCGTATGGCGATGGCGCTACTCGCCACTGCTTCACCATTGCCCTTTAGCAGTGCTATGTTCAGGCAATCCTATGGCGCGTCGTGTTCACGCTTGAGTCACTTTGATTGTAGCGCCCGCTACATGCTCGCATAATTAATGTCTCCTGGTCACGGGAACACAAGAAAACAATGCCATTCCGAAGCCGTAGAGCTTTGCCTGAGCTTAAGAGCTTTCAGTTGGAATCGTGGAATTGACATGGAGGCAAAGCCCCTAGGTTGTTCCGGAAATTGTGAATTAAATAATAGATAATGTGGTAAACATAAACAACCGGTATGAGATCTGGTTCTTTTTTCTCATTTCGCCTTTGGGGTTTTTTTTTGACCTTTTTGGAAGAGAGAAATTCGTCATCAAATTTTTAGCGAAAACCTAAAAAAATGCGACAGCCCATGGTCGGCCATGCACTTGTCTCAACGCTCCTCTTAA